ATCGTCGGCCTCCTCGACGAAGCTCTGGAAGTTTTCGAAGGCAGACCGCGGGCCTCCATCGCGATGCCCGCTGGGGGCGGGGGGGGGGGAGGAAAGCCGACGCCCGCTGGGCGCTCGCAGCGCCTGCTTGAGGATCTGTGGCCGCAGATATACGCATCGACTGACAGCGGCATTCGCAGGAGGCAGACCCCCCCCCCTCCCAAATACAGACATCAGACCAAGTCGGACTCGATCACACATGCCAACCGCGCGCAACACGCGCGCGTGCAAAGATCGACCAACGTGCAACTCATCATCCGCCTCCTTCCTGCCCCACCTCCTCCCCATCTTCCTCCCCAATGTGCCTCCGCCGCCCGCCCTCGCCCCCCCCCCCCCCCGTCCGTTCCGCCGCCCCCCCCCCCGCCCTCCGAGACGCCCCGTTGATCTATCGGGGCCGACCCGAACAACCGCGCGATTCAAGCTCCATCCTCCGAGACGCCCAAATCCATCGGGGCGTGTCCGAGGCATCGCGCCGGTCGTGCTACCTCCTTCGACGAAGCCAGGCACGCGCGCAAGACGGCGCGCACGCGCGCGCGCAAATCAACGACATCATGCACGTGCGTCGGCGGATTACCCGCGTCGGCGGCTGATCCGCCGAAAAGGAGGGGAGGAGAAAGGAGCACCGCACGATGCAGCATGCATGGTCAGCGCCATCTTCGCGCCAGCGCCGTGGATTGCCCTGCGGGCTGGCAGGGGCTAGCGCGCGACCCCCATCAGATCGAACATGCACGTCGAAGAGAGATGCGCAATCTCTCCCAAATCAGAACAAAACTGAAATGCGAAAATGCTGTGCAGGCTCACCCGCGAGCCTTCGCCACGCGCTAGCGACGGCCTTCAGCCCCCTGGTCACTTGTCGGCTTTCGCCCGCTGCTTCAGCCACTTCTCGGCGGCTGCCTTGGACTGCTCCTTCGCGGCGCCATCGCCCCACTTGAACGCCTTGGTCGAGCCAGGGCCTTTGCCATAGTGCCCGGCGCACTGGGAACGAGCCCCCTCGACGCTGACCCAGGACGTCGTGGACGTCGTGGCCGCCGCGGACGTCTTGACCGCCTTGGCCGCCTTCGGGGCGGACGGGGCTGCTGCTGGGCGCTTCGTGGCGGTCTTGGCCCCCTTCTCCTTCGACGTGGCAGCCGCCACGTGAACGGCCGCACCCTCGACGGCCATCCCGCCCTTTGCGGCCGCACCCGTCGCCACCGCATCCGGAACGCCATCCTCGAAGGGCTGCGGCTGCTGCGGTTGCTGCTGCTGCTGCTGCTTGCGCAGCTGCTCCTGGAGCTGCTTAATCTGCAACTGCAGATCCTGGTGGTGGTTCTGCTGCCGCTGCTGGAAGTCCGCCACCGCTTGCTGCTCCGCGCTGGCCGCCGCCGCCTGCAGGACAAAGAGGCTGCGCTGCTGCCCCCCCCCCCCAGTCATCGTCAACGTAGCGCCATTTGAGAGTCTCTCCTGCGAGCGCGCCTGCCCTGCGAGCGCATGCAGTATCTTACCAGCACGCCTGCCCCCGACGCATCTGGCATCGAGTTCGCGCCCCTGTCCCGCCAGAGCTTGAATGAATGAGCCACGGCAGTGACGTCCACGAACGAAACCTGGATGACGGCAGGGAGCCCGTCGCCGAACGCAGCTTTCCACGTGGCGGGGTGCATGGCTCGGAACTCACGGGGGTCCGCTGGAAGCGATGGCGCCATCTCAAGGGGCTCTGCCTTGCACATCCCCTTCCACATCTGCTTAACCTGCACTCGAAGGAATGGGGGAGAGGAGGAAGCGGTTGATCCGCCGATGACGGAAGAAACGGAGGAGGCGGTTGATCCGCCGAAGAACAAATAGGAGGAAGAGGGGGTGGGTGAACGGGGCGGCTGATCCGCCGAAGGAGGGGGGAGACGGATGAGGCGGTTGATCCGCCGACGCAGAAATTGGAGGAACAGAGGGTGAAGACGGTGGCGGCTGATCCGCCGAAGGAGATCGAGGTAGACAAGAAGAGGTGGCGGGGGGAAGGGGGGGGGGAAGCGGTTGATCCGCCGAGTGATGATGGGAAAAGCGGAGGGGGGTCGGGGCGGGGGGGGCTGGGGACAAGGCGCTTGATCCGCCGAACGATGGAGTGGGACGAGTGTTAGGAGGGGTGGGGGAGGATGAGGACGACGAGGGAACCCTTCCACTAAAACGAAACGGTAAACCATTGAAACGTCAATCCCGAGCAAAACGGCAAAAACATAAAATAAAAACAGCAACAACTGTCAAACCGCACCAAACACAAATATCAAATCGCACCACAAATCGCAGACATCGTGCAACCATGTCAACTTAAGCAACTTAATAACTAGGTTAATAAGTACGATAAGTGTATGTATAGCATACGTATAAGATGCCCCTTAACCAACATATAGCATGCGCTCTTCTTTTATATGTTGCTTACATGTGTAATAACTCACAACAACTGCCTGGGGCATCACAGTGGGGGCCCCCAAGACGCCGCCAAGGAGCCCCAAGAGACTCCCAGGAGGTCCCCAAGAGGCCCCCAAGAGGCCCTAAAGAGGGCTCCAGGGCCAGCGGAATGAGCGAAGCGATTAAATCATACAAAGTAGCAAAATAAACAGACAATAGTGAAACATACTTTTAAAAATCGTCCCCTCACTATTTGGTTGACTAATTTTGACTATTCCCCCTGTAGAGGGGCAGGCCCGACCTAACTCCAGGAGCGTACAGCGCTCCCGAAACCAGGCCGGCGCGTTCCTCACATTCGCTGAGTGCGGCCGAAGGTCGCTGGCAGAGGTCTGTGCTGCCCGTCGAGGACTTGCAGTCAAGGTGAGCACCTGGCAAACACGCGCGGCTCGAGGCACGGGCGTCCCTGCCCCCCTGAACGTAGCGACGAGGCAGGAGCAGACAACATCGAATCGCGGAGTCGGACCGCATTCCTGGGCCGCGGGGGACCCACAGCATCGGCATTGGCCCTTTCAGGGTGAGCACCCGCCCGATCAGTGACCCAGCATCGCACGACCTCCGCCGCGGAGTGCACCCGTGAAGCGAATTGCCGGCGGCCTACAGCCTCGAACGCCGACGCCCGTGCCGACGCAGCGCGCAGGCAGCAGGAGCCGTACAGAAGCAACCGGGCCATCGGATCGGAATCGGCCCTGCAGGGTGGCCACCCGCCCGGCCGTGGGCCCAACATCCCACGAGCTCCGCCATGGCGGGCACCCGTGAAGCCACCGGCGGTCCTCAACCGTGAACGCTGGCGCCCGAGCCGACGCACCGCGGAGGCAAGAGGAGCAGCCGTTTTGTGTGTATGGTTGCTCGAGGAGGAAAGGTGCGGGCACAGCACGGCGACACGCACGGCGACGAATTCGTGAGGCCACTGCGAGATCGCCCAAGCGCTGTCTAGGTCGAACCCTGGTTCTGCGTGCTCTCGTCTGTCAGCTCGCCCAGCCCAGGCCAGACGCGGCGCCGTTGATGCAGCCGCGACGCGAGAGCGGAAAGCTCGGCACCTCCTACCCTGCGCATCGCATCGCGCGCCACGCAGGGCGATCGCTGCGAGCACCGTCTCCTTGGATCACCGGCATTGGTACGGAAAAGATGGGCACGATGTCCAACAACAAATGTCGTCAAGAACCGACAGCAACCGCTGTTGGGCAGGCGGCATGCTGTCTCAAGGGGACAAAGCCCGCGGCGGCGCGGATAAGCATGAACTGCTGTTGGGCATCGTATCCATTCTTGTCGCCGTACCCATTTCAGTCGTGCCGAGCCTCCAGAGCGATGAAGAGGACAAGCAGGGCGGAGGAGGAGAAAGAGGAAGAGGAGGAGGAGGAGGAGGAGGAGGAGAAGGAGGAGGAGGAGGAGAAGGAGGAGGAGGAGCATGGAGGAGGAAGAGAGCGAGCGAGGAGAGCGATAAAGACGACACTACTTATATTAAATGATTCGCTGCGAACGGACGCCCGATCATCTGACCACATTCACTTCTCTGACCAACTTCGTGTGGAACCCGGCTCACTCCTGGAAGAGGAGGGCGAGGATGAGGAGAAGGGCGGGGCGGGGATGAGTGAGCGAGGAAAAAAACATTCTGGAGGAGCGAGGTGGCCAAAACAGCCCCAGCTAAAGAATTCATGATTTCCGGGCCATCGCTCGGGACGACCCAGACAGCTCCGGAACGCTCCCGGCGAGGCGCGGCTACAGAAACGGCATCCCGAGGCGACCTACCTAATCTCCAAAGGCCGACGGACACAAATACACCAATCCTTCCCGTCTCCTCCTCCTCCTCCTCCTCCTCCTCCTCCTCCTCCTCCTTCCTGTCTCGGGCGGCCCGTAGACCGTCTGCGACCCCCCCCCGCACACCCGGCCTGGAGCCGTCCCGGCTGCGCGGGCCTCACGGGCCGACGAGCAGTATTAATGAGAAGATCCCTTCCGTCTCGGGCCGCCCATCGACCTCCTCCTCCTCCTCCTCCTCCTCCTCCTCCCTCCTCCTCCTCCTCGGCTCCTCCTCCTCCTCCTCCTCCTCCTCCTCCTCTTCCTCCTCCTCCTCCTCCTTCCGTCTCGGGCGGCCCGTAGACCGTCGCGGCGACCCCCCCCCGGCCTGGAGCCGTCCGGGGACGCGCGGGCCCCAGGGGCCGAGACGAACAGTATGAATGAGGAGATCCCTGCCGTCTCGGGCGGCCCGTCGACCGTCGCGGCGATCCCCCCCCCTGGCTTGGAGCCGTCCGGGGACGCGCGGGCCCCAGGGGCCGACGAGCAGCAATACAGTCGGGGGCGTTGACCTAAGGAACCCTAAACAAGGAACGGGGTCCCTTTTCTGTCTCATAGAGTGACGCTTCAAATTCCCCATGGGAGACCCCAGGAAAACCCAAGGCAAACTGTGAAACAATCGAGGAACACCGAGCCCCTCCCCAACGAAAGGGGCTCCTTCTTCAGCGCCCCGACTGTGAGGAGATCCCTTCCGCATCGGGCGGCCCATCGACCGTCGGCGATCCCCCCCCCCCCGAAGCCTGGAGCTGTCCGGGACGCGCGGGCGGGGCGGCGCGCTCGCCGGGCTGCCGCCGCGGCCCGCGGGGGGGCCGTCGGCGGCGCCTGGGCGGGCAGGCCCCCGGGGAAGGGAGGGGGGAGGGCGACATCTTTGCCTCGATCCGCCCCTTCCCTCTGCCTATCCCTCCCTCCCCCATCGACCCCCCCCCCTCCCACCTCCTCTGCATCCCCCCCCCCACCGCCCCCCGCTCCCCCCCATCCCCGGTTGCGCAGGACGAATGCGACTTACTCTCCCCTCTCCCCCGAAGACGCTGATGAGGTGCGTTGGCTTCCTCAAAGAATAGTTGTTCCCAACCCTCCTGCGTCGGGTTCTCGTTTTGAATAGAACACTGCTCGCGCGTCTCCTTGCTTCCTTCCTTCCCGTCCCTATCTGCCCCCTCTGCCCTCCCCTGTGCCACTTGCGAGGGCTGCTAGGGGCTGCAATCTGTGAAACTGTCGCCACTTTCGAGGGTTCCTCAGGGGCACAGCACAATGGGTACACACCGCGGACTCAAATTAGACCTCGCCATCCCTGAGTCTGAAATGACTCTGGCAGGTCATATAGCATCCACTTCCATGTCGAAGGAATACGATATGGGGAGTGGATGGATGGGATAGGATAAGATCGATGGAATGATCTTCCCATCACATAGCGAACACTAAAGTAAGTGTCCAGGCAATTAGAGCGCGCGTGCCTTGAGCCAAGGCAGCGGCCCGCAGGCTATACTCCCGATCCTCTATAGCATCTCCCAAACAGCTACCCTTAAAGTCGGGAGGGGAGGAGACGGAGAGCAAAGCCGCGCAGCCGCCAGGCTCCAGAAAGGCCGCGCGCACAACTGTTTGCAAGAAGACCAGCACGCGCAGTCTGGTCTACCACCAGCGAGATTATTCGCCGGCGAGCTTCCTCGCAAAACTTTTCCACGCACACACAAGATAGCCCCTTGGATAAACAAGGGCAATCGGCCCGGCTAGAGGCAAGCCAAACAGGCGATTCCCCTCCAGGCAAAAGGGCGTCAAGGCAAAGAGCCTGAAACAATGTGAACAGGCTCGTTGCCAAGCGTGGAAAGTATGGCTCGTTTTCGAGCAGCTAGGAGGGCGCCTCTGTATTAGGCGCCCGTGCTGGCAAACTGGGCCGCGGGGGCAACAAGGACAGACTAAAACTGATTCGACTTAGGTTGGTTTTTGTCCTCGGGGCCTCGAAAGGGAACAAACTGCTTCACGTCGTACTCACATGACTGAGTGCCTGACATCACTTCCAAAAGCAGCTCCCGATCGATACTCCCCTTTGTATGCCCATCTGCGGTCATATCTCTAGTGTAACACCACTGTACGTTATGCACTATCCCTATATCCATGAGCTCACGTATCCAACTGATATGTCCCAGAAAAGTACGTTCCGTTGGTATCTTAAGGTCTTTGCTGGATAGCGATTCGTATACAGACTCAGCGTCTATAGTAAGGGATATTTTGATAGCTAGGCCTCCATCTACACGCATATCTCGTAGCTGTCGTGGAGTAAGTGCTCCGGCCTTGAGCTCGTGGAGAGTGCTGAGCGTGGGATAACACTCATCAAGATTATGTGCAGCTGCAAGTGCCTCAGCGGCATAGCTGGACCTCACCTGCAGCCTGTGTGATTTGCACAGTCCGTCGCAATTGTGAACGACGGATTTGCCTTGAGGCGAGTTTCCTCGCCGTAATACGTTAGCCCCACGAATGCCGTAGCCCTTGGTTTCGTCGCCCTCCTCCCCGGTGAATTTCCGATACCCCGAGTCACTGTGTATGTCTACTTCATTCGTCGGTTTCATCCGAGGGGCGGTGATGCGTTTCGGGCGGCTGATCAGCTTTCGCGTCACAGCATTCAGTCGCATGACTTGTAAGTTGGTGGGCTCTTGGATCCTCTGGAGAGAGACCACGCGCGCCATAGGCCAGACTTGAGTGAGAAGGGCATAGGCGAGAGCTCCTCGCAAGCTAACGAACATGTCGGTGATAAGTGTGGTAGCTTTGGCGTCTGCCGCTGCTCCCGTAAGCTCAGGATGTGTGATAGGACGCAGTTGTTTAATGTACTCGTCCTGGTCCATGGTCACATCCCCTTGTTCATTCTTCGTGTAGCGGGCGGCGCAATTCGTGTAAGAATGTTTGTTGAGCTTGCATTTACCAAATATCTTTTCGACGCGCTGTACATAGCCATCGACGTTTTTCTCTAGGCCTGTCATGTTGATGTCGTCGACATGTTTTGCCGTTACCAGATCCAGGCTGAATTCAAATTCAGGATCGTAGCTTGTCGGTGTAAGGCCTATAGCTCGTGTAGTCGCACGAAGCTTCAGGGAGAACGCTCTTGGGGCGTCCTTTGCGCCCGTTCCTGGCTTGAGGCACCTGAGGCAGTGTCGGCTTTCATCGTAAGACGAGAAGCCTGGTAGTGCACGAAGCACCTGGGCACTTCCTGGTGGAAGGGCGAAGCAAAACATGCGAGTTTCCTCGCCAGTGGCATGAGCAAGTTCCTCATATGCCAGTCATTTGAGGAACGCGTTGTCGATGTCCATAGATGCTAGGATCCATTATGGATGGCATGCCGCCTCACTTGCCAGAAGCCTCTGGGACTGTCTACGAGCAGTTCCTGAGAAGGTCTCTACATCGAAGGCCTCCGTGCCCATGAATCCGCGGAGGACAAGTCTCAGACAGATGGTTTTAACAGTATCAGTGCCTACTTTCACAAACTTCCACTTGTATACATATCTGGATGTCATGATGTTAGAAGCTCTTGATAGGTCATACATCTCAAAGCATCGGTTGTCAAGCGAGAAGTTGAATTCGGTGCACAAGGCTTCACTGACCTCTTTAGGATGTGCTGCTATATCGGCTTTGGTGAGTAGGTCGTCTTCCTTGACTACCACAGCACGTTTAGCAGCCGATGATACATATACCCTCATCGTTGCGACCATGTTTCGAGCTGTGCAAGTTGCGTATGATCCAATACTACCTCTGACATTTCTGGCGTGAAACATTGCTCATAATAGGGACCATGTTCATCACTATCAGAGAATAGCCCTCGTCAGGTGTAGTCGAGCATAGAGAGACAAGACAGGGCTCTTGTAGTCCGGGCTCGTCTCCGAGCATCTCCGACACCACGGTATCTTTTTCATCCACAGATGCTGAGGCCACGACACACTGGTCAGGCAGCATGGTTGTTGGGACGCAGTAGAGATAGTCGTCGATAACCGTTGTGGGATGAAGGCCCATGCGTAGCTCATCGTACCACTCCTCCATCATCATAGCCCCGATGTCGTGTTCCTTGCTTTCTTCGTAGATTGTGGACCGGCGACCTTCACTTGGTGATGAAGCACCTGGGGTGTCTGGAGGAGGCCTGTCTCCAGGCTGGTCGTGTTCTCCAGACGTTGTGCCCATGTGCTGATACATGGCGAGGTCGTCATGAAATCCCAGGGGGGGAACTTGTGACGTCAGGCGCTGGATCAATCTGGAATGAGTGCTACCAGTGATTTGAGAGATGTTCAGGCCGGTGCCTACACACTCATAATAATGGAAGGCTGGGTTCACATCGTTGTCGTAGTGGATCAGTGTGGACCCGGTAGCGTACTTTACTGCAAGTAGATTGGACACGCTCTTGGCCAATCTCACGGCTACTACACGTTCGACTCGGAAATAATTTCGCACGAGATACTGCAGTGCAAGGTGTACGCGCGGGTGAAACTTGCTGTCGTCGGACAGATTGAGGTTCCCCTTGTAGTCAGGAATATAGCCAAAGACTTTGGCAGGTTTCCCTGCACCAAGGTGTGCTACATATGTAAGGACGGCTTGCATGGCCACGTTGCCCATGCCAAGGCCCCTGGTAAGAAGGCATTCAATGCATAGTGCGTACCGAGCATCAGGGTACATTAGAATTATATTCCGCAGCGAATAATTAGCAAATGTTTTATACAACGCTTGCTATCTATCGGTTTTTGTCTGTAAAATTTGTCCGAAATGGGGGGGGGGGGGGGGGGGTATTTTTTGAATGGCGTTTTCCACAAAAATCAATATAATTCGAGTTTCTACTCAGAATTTAGGTCATCTATATAAAAGCACGTCCATTTTTTCGGGTGATGTGCGTTTCTTTCATCTCGCTTTGCCGCCATTGCCGCGCTATCTAGCGCGCGCCTTGGCGCGCTATCTAGTGGGCGCCGCCCGCCTCAAGATGGCCCCGGAGGGCCCCGAGGCGGCCCAGGAAAGCCCCGAGGCGGCCCAAGACTTGCGCTAAGTCGAATCATGTGTAGATCTGCATTCTCTGCGTTGCTGTATAGACTCCATATTTGTGGAGACGCGCGCCTGAGACAATTCCTGCCCCTCTCCTCCTCTGCCGCTGACCCCCCCAGGCGGCCCAAGACTGCCCCGAGACCCTTCCCGGGCCCAAACCTACACTTAGCACGCAATGACGGCTGCACAAGGCCCCAAGACGGCCTACATACAGGCGCCCCAAAACGCCCCAAGATGGCCCCAAGACGTCTCGAAAACGGCCCACGAAGGTTCCAAGACGCTCCAAGATAGCCCCGGGACGGCTCCCAAATAGCCCAAGACCGCCCCCAGGCGGCCCAAGACCGCCCCAAGACGGCGACCCATAGTTAGCACTCAATGACGGGGCCCTCAGGGGCCCAAGATCTGTACACTTAAAAGGGCCCGAGATGTTCCAGCGGGGCCCTGAGTGGGGCTCGAGACATCCTCACGACTCGGGAGCCGCCGCTCGAGACATCCTCAGAACTGGGGCGGCTGACTGACTGACTGACTGACTGTCTGACTGACTTTCTGACTGACTGGCTGTCTAACTGATTGACTTACTGACTGACCGACTGACTAGCTGACTGGCCGGGAGGGGGCCGCCGCTCGAGACACCCTCACAACTCGGGAGCCGCCGCTCGAGACATCCTCACAACTCGGGCAGCTGACTGCCTGACTGATTGACTGACTGGCGGGGCGGCTGACTGCCCCCGCACGCGTCGTATTCGGTATTTTTCACGCGTTTTTGTATTTTCCCGTAGCCATCGGATTCAAGGTTGTCGCTATTTCCAGATTATGTA